CTCCCACACTCACTCCCCGCCCTGGGCTGCTGTGTGTGCCAGGCAAGAGCAAGCCGTTGTCCCTGCCCTCCAAGCCAGTCAGCAGGGAGTGCGCAGAGGGTTTCTCAGACCCTCCAACCCACACCACGTCGTTCCTGGGGTTCATTAAAAGTCATGCTGTACAATGTAGAAGGCAGAGCCTCCAGGCCACTTGAAGGTCAACAGCCCCTTCTCAGTACTTCCCAGGCCCTGGGGACTGGCTCCTCCCACCCGATTCCACTGACCCATTGCAAGGGGACCAGGACTATCTTTGTTCTCTCAGACCTCAGCCTCTCCACTGGAGCCCACAGTTGGATGTAGAAGCAGAAAACACATCACAAACAGATTAGAATATGCACACCAAACAGTGCGGCCACCCTCAGCCAGGACACACATCTCCTGAGGCTAAAGAAGCAAGATCAACCATCTGTGCACGCTGCTGCTGGGTAGCATCTCTGGTGCTTCATCCTGATCAGATGTGGTGCGGGCGGGCAGGCTGTGCAGAAGGAGTAACCGGGAGGCAAATGGTAGGTGGAACACAGCTAGAGGCAAGAATAAACCACCACTGCTTCCCGCAGTCAGCCTTCCAACCACCGAGTGCACGCCCATGGCTTCAACCCAATGTGTCAAAAATACTTGAAAACCCAAAATTTGCATCTGTTCTTAGCATGTTCAGAATATCTAACTATCTACGACAACATAACCACTATTAATAGAGCATTTGAGTTGTATTATGAGGTACTGTAAGTCATGCAAACACTGTGCCATTTTACAGAAAGGACTTGAGCATCATCCATTTTTGTATCTGCAGGAGGCCCTGGAACCAGTCCCCCATGGATATCAAAGGACCTCTTTTATGTAGAGATGACCCCCAGTCCCATGGGGGTGGATAGATATTGATGAGTGGGTATGTGGGAGACTTCAAAAGACCCAGTTAGGTATCACCAACTTCAAATCTTATTTGCAAAACTATCATTTATTTCTGTGTTGTTCTTTGTTGATGCTAATTCTACCAAGAATTCATGATAAAGATCTTTCTAGAAATTAACGTAAAAAAGGCAGAACAATTGACTTTAGTGGAGTCAATATTGTGATGTGGCTACACTGTATTCCTTTAAAACACTGGCCACCCATTCCGTTAACTTGCTTCATCACACTTATAAGCCACACCGAACAGAGAAAAAGGACTTGTGCGTGAGAAAGGGTCTAGTGGGGCCTCTGTCCAAGGATTGCCTTGTAGAAACAGATTCCAGTCAGGAAAGTACGCAAGGAGACTCTGTTAGTCAGCTTTCTGCCACTGTAATGAAATACCTGAAATAAATAACTTGTAGAAAGAAAAGTTTTATTTGGGCTCATGGTTTAAGAGATTCCAGTCCATGATCAGGTGGACCCATGGCTTTTAGGCCTCTGATGGGGGTGCCAGCAGCAACAGTGGGGAGCACTTGGCAGAGCAGCCTGTTCTTCTCATGGCCAGGAAGCAAGAGGGAATACAGAGGGGCTGGGGTCCCCAAAACCCCTTCAAGGGCTAGCATGCAGCGATCTACAGACCTCCCACAAGGTTCTACCTTCTGAAGGTTCTACCTTCCACCACCTCCCAGTAGCACCACCCTGGGGACCAAGTCTCCAACCGTGGACATTTTGGGGAATATGCAAGACCCTAACTATAGCAGAGAACTCTTCCCCACTGCCTGCCAACCAGATGTGCTTCCTCATCTGCATAGAGAAGCAGCAGTGCCTCCCAGAACTGGAAATTTCTGGAGCTACCTGATGAAGCAGCTCTAAGTGCAGTCTGAGCTACGAACAGGCAATTTAGAATTAAGACTCTCTATAAACACACTTGAGCAATTTCTCACCCTTTCTACCAAAAAAAAAATACATAGGTGTCTTTCTCCACCCCACAGATTTGTAGCTTGTCAAAAGTAATGACCATTTCCTCTCTCCTTTTAAAAGAAAAATCCAATGGGTGTTATCACCACTTTAAAGAAGTCTCCTATGCATGAGAGAAGCATTTAAAAACTGCTTGTTGCAATGAGCTGATAAGAAATAAGACTTCAGAGTCAGCAGCTGAGTTGACTTTGTGGAAGGCACGGCCACCCTCAGCCATGCTCAGACAAGACCTTGTACAGGTGACTGGGTGGGAACATGGAACTCATGAAAGTGACACTCTATAGGAGAGGATGCCCTAGGTACATTTGAGGTTGTTATAGTGAAAAATATAAAATCCAACTTTGGTTCTTTGCTGTCTATTGCAGAATAGGTATTCCTTAAACTCTTCAAATGCACTTGACTTCATTTAATCCTCTTTGTGTTAGTCAGTTTTCCATCACTATAGCAAATATGTAAGATGATCCATCAACTTACAAAAAGCAAAGGTTTATTTTGGCTTGCAGTTCTGAAGATTTCAGCCCATGATGAGTTGGCCGTGTTGCTTTGTCCTCTGTTGATTCAGACGTAGTAGCAAGATCACATGGTTGATCAAGAGCGCTCCCCTCAGGGCCAGGATGTGAAAGACAGAGAGGGGGCAGAGAAATTGGAATCCCACAGTCCCCTTGCAGGGCACACCTGAAGTGACCCAAAGACTTCCCTCATCTTAAAATTTCCTGCACCTCCCAGTAGCACCAAACTGGGGACGAGGCCATCAACACTGGCCCTTGGAGGACATCCCAGTTCCAAGTCACAACTGTTGCTTTGTTTCATCTTCTCAGCAAATGTTGCAGGTATAAGATAAGGAAACTGAGATGTGGAGAAGTGACTCATCTAGGGTCATACACTGAATAAGTTGTCAGACAGGGTCCAGACTTCAGGACCATGATCTCTCTACTACTCCAAAGTGTTATTTCCTTCTTTTTCTCATTTGTGACACAGAATCACATCATTCTACTTAAAAAGCATGTCTCTGCAACATTTGCGCTAGGGTGATTTGAGAGGACACTACCCTGAAATTCTGGAAGACTATTTTTAAGTTTAAAAGGGAGGAATTTCAAAGTGTCTCAGCTCTATACACTCATGGTTACAGGGAGAAGAGCATGATATGTGTGAATTGAGAATCAGATATCAAGATTTCTATTGTTTATATTGTTAGGAAAATAAAAACATTTTTTGAAATGTTGATGACTGGATTAAGATCAAATTTCCATCATGCTTGGGAGGAAATGGTTAACCAAAGAGAATAACTTAGCATTTCAGTGTTGACTGTAGCTATCCAGCTATCAAAACATAGAAATGATAGGTATAAAAGTAAATAAATGGATCTGACCAAGAAAGAGTGCTCTAAACATTTCAATTTTATACCAAGTTAATTTTGGTAATTATTTTGCTTTATCTGGTATATCTCTTGTGGGAATGATTAGCCTATGAAAATATTCCTTTCTATTGACATTATCACTTAATTAAGCTGCTTATTTTGTTGCCTTAGGGATCCTTACACCTTTATTTTTAAAATGAAAGAATATCTTTTGAAACTTTCGATAATATCTTGAATCTTACTTCAGGTTTCTGAACCTCAGCATTCATGTACTATACTTACTGATTATTAAGGAATCTCAATGTTCTATGAAGTGGACAACTAGTACATAATTATAAATACCTTCTGGGTCACAATGTGACTTCCCTCCTTTTATATGCTACCTAAATTAAACATGTTCTTAAACTTTCTTGTTGTCATTGGAAAGTAGAAGAACTCTGGGTTAATGTCTTGATGGCCCATGTATCTTGATGTTAGAACTGAAACTCTTGTTTTAAATTTCCTTATAGGTAGGAGAATATTCAAAATGTTCTCATTAACAGCTCACAGCAGTAATTGGCTTGAGTCAATCTTTGAGAACATTAAAATAAAAGTCATTTCTGTAGATCCAAAAAGACTAGCTCTGGAAGTTTACACAGCAGGCACCTCAGATATCTAGAGTTTTGATGTTTCTTCTCGCTCCTCATTTCAGTGAAAATTTACAAGACCCAGAAGAAAAAGGGAGTCAGAAATCATGAGCCATAGAATCTGGTGGTAAGATGGCCGATGGGAAGAGTAGAGCCAGGAGAATGGGAAATAGCAGTTATGTATGTTGTGTGTGTGTGTGTGTGTGTGTGTGTAGATGGATGGATGGATGATGGATACACAGACAGACAAGAAGACTGATTTACCTAGAAATACCTATTTCTTTGGAAGCTGATGAGAAACCCAGTTGCTTAGAAACCATTGATTCCTTATAAGTATTAGATTGTGCATCATAAATCACCAACTTCTTCTCATGTCAGTTCCCAAGAACTTCAGACTTAAATGGGAACTAAGCTTTGAGACATTAAAAGATGGTTAATAAACCGATGTCAAATGAAAGATATAATATGGGGAACAGGCACCACCATGCTAGGAGTAGCACCTTGTGGGAAGTTGGTCAATATGGTTCCTATTGTCCTTCATTGAAAACAGGTCACATTGATGTTTGTTTTAGTGTAAAAATGTTTTATGTGGTCATAAATGCTTTTTCTTTCTTTGCATCAGTGAAGTGTAGCAGAAACAAATTACATGTTAAAATCAAAGAGATGTGGTCTGAATTGCAGCTGAATGCCCACCGCCTGCGTGACCTTGTGCAAATCAGTTGGCATCTCTGAATCTTCATTTCCTCTGTGTAAAATGAACCTTCAAATTCCAGTGCAAATTCAACACTAAGGATCAACTAGCTCACTGTGAGGCTCTAAGTTAGCACAGGTTAAGGCACACAGCTCCTGATATTCTCCATGATGTGCCGTCATTGTTCTTCACATAGGGGACACTAAGGTGCAGTATATAGACAGTTCCTGGACCTTAGGAGTTCATATATTGTTAAGAAGGTGTTCAATAAGTGATGGAATTTAATAATGAATGCAAAACACTACTGTAGAATGCAGAGAAATATTAGATAGGGAATCTATTTTCTAGAGCCTTTAGTGTTTCAAGAACTATTAGATGATGGAAAGAAAGAAGATGGTTGGGGCGGGGTGGGGGCGGGAACAGCAAGGATCCTCCTAGGAAGGAAAGCACTTGCCTCCATGCAGAGCCCTCTAGCGGTCGGAGTGAGTAACAGCAATCAATGCTGGGGCCACAGTGGGCAATCCCAAGGGGCTACAGAAAAGGCCACCAATTTTGTTTCAATTTGGTAAAAGCTTTGGGGGAGAAAACAACAACAACAAAAAGACCTTAATGATGTACATGTGACATGAGTGTTTATGTATATGGTTACATACAACTGCATCAGAGTGTTAAATCTCTATTTTTCACGACTGTGACTTTTTAATTTACAGTGCAATTATGTGCTTGGTGTGCTTGTAAATCCTAGCATGATTTAGGAGAGGGAAAGTGAAGAAATGCCCTGAGTTATTTTGGTCTCTCTTCTCCTTCCCATATCCCATGATGCGTAGGTGCCACCCCATCACATTTGCCTGCAGATCTTTTGAGACTGCTTCCCCCCTCTCTCCTTTGCATCCCAGTCTCTAGTGCCAGCTGCTGGCTTGAGCTTTTGCAGGGAGAGAGGAGCAGGGTGCAAAGATGTCATTGTGAAAAATCCCCCCTAATGCTGAGCATTCTCTCTCCTGCTCAGCAGCATCAGATGGCAGTATTACAGTCCCTGGCACAGAGGTACTTCCCCCAGGGGTTACTATTTCTGCTCAGCTCTGAGACAGTCTAATGCACTGAAATCATGATCACATGTACAGCTTTTGTGTGCTGTTTACCAAAAAAAAAAAAAAGCCCTGAAAGGAAAGTAACTTTGGGGGTTAATGCATCTCCTTGTGAGCTCCCATGTGTCTGAGTATCAAATTCCTGCGCAATTAGGTTCCTTTCGTAGGTTCTGGTGTGTATCCTGCGCATGCATCTCCGCAATGTATTTTATCTCGTTCCTTTTAAAAGACAATTTGGCAAGAAGGCAGCCTTCTCTCAGGTTCTGTGAGAGTAACTTTGGCTTCTTTATTTAAATGAGCTCTTTTATCATCCTTAACATTTCAAGCAATTACCTGTGGGCAGAGCCCATGCATCTGCTGAAAGTATGTGTCTCTTCTCCACTTTATTCCTAAATCAAGCCAGCAAGATGAATAGTTTAACTTACTTACAGATAGCAAAGGGGAGGAATGTGAAGAGAAGGGGACTGATACACACTTTGAAGGCATTTCTGGAATGAAGGAATGAAGGAAAGAGAGAGAGAGAGAGAGAGAGAGAGAGAGAGAGAGAGAGAGAGAGAGAGAGAAGCTGATCCCCAAACACTGTACAAGGACTTTGCACCTCTGGAAAGGATGATCCTCGCCTGTGTAATTTACCTACTACTTCCTGGGTCAGTGTGGAGCCTGGCACCTAGAGAGAGCTTAATAAATATCTGTGCAATGAGTCAGTTAATAAATGCCCACAGCTGAGGCTGAGAATGTAATCTTTAACATTATGAAAATGGGGAATTCTAATGGGATACCACAGATCATCTTCTGCCCTTGGGATCATGTTGCAGATTTCCTTCAAAATAGTGGCAGTTTTAAGGACTCTGTGCTCTAATAAATCCAGTTTCCTTTCAGCATTTTAAGGGTCCCTACCGCGAGGCAATGAACTCCAGAGGTAGGTGTTCTTCATCTAATGAAGCTGTGTGTAGACCGTGAGTTTAAGATTCTGAGCTTCAAGGCATACACGGTTGTTGTTTACAAAGTGAAATCCGATTTCTATGTGCAAGGAGTGGCGAGAATTTTGGGGTCTTTATTGGGCTTTTTAGTCATACATTTGCTTATTAACTTTTGAGATGATCCTAACCTTGTGGAAAGTTTGGAAACATAAGAAAATACAGAAACTTGTGATAGCATCACCTTCACTCCATTGTGAGAGGCTCCTTCAGCCTTTGTTTCGTAGCTGCAGAGAGGATGTGATCATTGTAGATGTCGTTTGTACCCCATTTAGCACCCAGCCTTTGAAAGGTGATGTTCTATGATAGGCATTGTGTGTTGCAACATAGTTTCACACTATGTAATTCTAGTACTCCTGGCCTGGTCACAGTCAGTGATGTCATTTTTAACAGCAGTTATATAGAAATAGATGTAGATATAGAGATAGGTAGATATATGTATATAGATATAGATAGATACGTGCAGGTACAGATAGGTAGTAAACAGATATGAATAAGTAATCGCCCCTCTACTATTCATAAACCTAAGACTGAGCAACCTCATCTATGACAAAAGAGATGAATTAAATACCAAGAACAAAACAAACCAAAAAGATCTCTCAGTTGCCGGAGTCCATGACCCAAAGCTGTTGGGTCTCAGCCACAGTAAAAACTTCTCTGTTCTCACCGAATATCTATAAATCTTATTTCCTATGCGATTTTAACACATTTAGCTGGCGATTGATGGTTAGTATTAGGATTGATAATGGCAATGAGCAGAATCTGTTAGTGAAGCTGGGAAAACTCAGAGAAGAGCAGCCAGAGACCACCTAGCTAAAGAGAAAAATGATGAGCACATCGCCAGGTGTTTCGGTGGGACAATATCCTAATTTAAGATTCATGATAACTAATTATTTAAAAAGTGCTGCTTTATATTTAGGATGCTCTGTTTCCAAAGGCAGGGAAATAGCCAATCATTTGGAGATATTTCCATCCAAAATTAATTTTGAAAAGTTAAATTATTCTTCCATGATACCATTTAACTGAGGTTTGAAAAATAATTAGCTATTTCCTAAAACAGTATCTTTTATTTGAACTTCTTTTTTCTCTCCATCTTAATGTAGTTAGAACAGCATTTACTGGGGCAACAGCAGATCCTTGGGCAAAGCTAGCATGGAGCATTTTATACATAAGGAAGGAAGAATGAAACCCATGACCCATAATAATTCAATGTCAGCCTTGGTGCAACTCAACTGGACTTGAATTATTAACCACACCCTCAAGCTACACCAATGGCATATATTAATTGGAGACAGAGTAAGCTAACCCCCCCCCCCCCCAGAGAGATCAGGTCTGTGTGTTGACATCTTTATCTTTAGCCATTGGAAATGATCACCCATTGATGGAAAATTAAAAGACGTCAGTTTCTCTATACTCTTACAAATACACATATACACATATACCAAGTAGATAAGATTTTACATAAACACAAATACGCATACAGGGTAATTGGTTCATTTTTTTTTTTACTTTATCTTCTTTTCCCAAGCGTCTTTGGGATCTGCTGGACTGAATCAAGATGCCAATCTGATTTCCCTTAAAGATCCAGTGCAACTGGTGGAGACCTTTTATTTGGAAACTTAACAGCAGTTCACTTAGAAAGGGGAGGAGGGCTACTTGAGAGAAAAAAATCTCCAGATAATTGGCTTGCAACATGTCTGGAGATGATCTCACTTTAAATGACATTTAATAGCTTTTTCTTCCACATCACTGATAAACATTTCAGTGTTACCGATCACTTTGAAAAACAAGACATGGGAACTTGAGCAGAAATGAGGAGAACAGCTGGGTTTCTTGTTCCGAATGTGTTTTCAAGTCTTTCAGCTGTCAGAGGACACTAGAGGAACTCCCCTGAGACAGAACTCCACTGCCATGTAACGGAACCAGGTTCATATTCATATTCTCTCTCTCTCTCTCTCTCTCTCTCTCTCTCTCTCTCTCTCTCTCTCTCTCTCTCTCTCTCTGTAAATTTTTGGATTCACAGATTGCACTGACTCATTTTTCACAGTATGACTCCTGTTGAGTGAGGCAGAGGCCCTCCTCCGGCAGGAAGTCTCCCATGTAGCCTGAGATGGAGAGAAGACTCCAACATATGAGCAATAACAGAAGCTCCCCAGGAGTGTGCGAGAGAATGAGCCACTTAGGAAGGCCTTGCCACCTCCGTGGGTGGCTCTGAAACACTTACCACAGCCAGAGGAGGAGGTGCCCAGAGGGGCAGGGGTGTGAAGAGGGTGCTGAGTGGTCTGTCCGCAGCCCCCTGTGGAGAGGGGCTGTAGGTAGCACTCCATGGTGAGGGGTCAGATTTTCAGGGCAGGGAAGAGGAGCAGTCCACAGTAATGGTGGTCAACAGAAGGAACTGGGAGTCTAAAGTCCAGGCACTGGAGAAGATGAGGAAGGCAGAGACTCCATGCCTGCAGGAGAAGCAGAGGCCCCGTGACTGACGCTATGATTCCATCTGCCTGCTGGGACTCGAACCTGGAAAACGCATCCCAGCAGGGGAAAGACGCTGCGAGGCACAGTCGGGACATAGACGTGCTGGATCCAGAGGCTGCAGCAATACCCACCCACCCCCCCAACTCTGAGTCTTTCCATTTGAGGCCTTTTTTATGCGCAGGCCAAAGAAGACCCAGTGCCAACAGGTTACATGGTGAGCACATGCTCACAAGCAGATATTTGCAACCCTGAGTACCTATGCCGAATTCGGGTGTTTATGACCTTGACTGCATGCTAAAACACAGCTGGTCAGAAGTCTTGTTGGAGGAGCACAGCCATAGCCATCTGGGGCTTGCGGAACTGAAGAGGCCTGGGAGACTTCTGGTTTCACCAACTATGACATTAACCGTTATATTCACCAACCGTCACATTCCCTGACATGTTCACGGGGGGGGGGGGGTTCGGTTCCCATCTTCCAGACAATGGACAGTCATAGAGCAAAAGGCTTCCTTCCCCTGTCTCCAGAACTCCTCAGACATTTTAAAATACCAAATAAAAACCCACAATGCTTGCCCACAAAGTTATGTTAAGAGTTTTAAATTTCCAGAAAATAAATTAAGCAACATTTATTCAAAATGGAGAGAGTAGACCTGCTGAGTTGCTGAGGTTTCCTGAGTGACTTCATTTAACAAAAGTCAGTGCCTGCTTCTTTTTGCCTGGTCTGGTTGTGTGTTCTTGGGGGTCACTTTTCTTTCTTCTATGTCCTTTCTCCTGCTATGTTGCAAGATCCGACTGCATGCAGGGACTGAAGTTTGGGGCAGTCAGGGATTCCTTCTTCCTTTTGCCCCTGATGGATTTGTCTGACTTCACCTTTCCATCTCCACTTCCTGTTCTTATTCCCAAGACTGCACCATGCTGAATCTCCTTCCTCCTTCACAATTTCCAGGAAGCCTTCAGAACAACAATTGCTTCTGCCTGCAGCTAATACAGACTCCTCCACCCGAGTGGACATTCACTGCAGATATGATGACTGCCCACACCCTTTCCCACCGTGCCCACATGCCCACGCAAAGTCCTGTGCTCCAGGCAGCCACCACCAGGTCACCAACTTTGCACACAAGATGAACTATATTTGCCACCTCTCCAATGGGAGCTTTGCTTCTTCAAAATCCGTCTTCACCAGAGAATGGCTTTCCTTTCCACTTGAATCTCTCAGGGGCCCTTCGCCTCAATCAGTATTGGTATTGGTTTCCCAGGACTGAGGTCACAAAGCTCCCCAAACTAAGGAGTTTAAAATAAGAGAAGCATATCCTTTCACAGCGCTGAAGATCAGAAGTCTGAGGTCGGGTGGCAGCGTGGTCTTGCTCCCTCTGAGGACTCCCGGGAGAATCCTCCTTGACCGTTCCCGCTGTGGCTCTCTGTTCATTCCTGTGTCCCTTGGCTTGCACACACATTGCTCTAGTCAATGGCAGTCGTCTCCCATGTGTCTTCACATCCTCTTCCTTCTGCCCAGGTGCCTTTGTGTCCCTTCTTTTAAGGAGACACAAATCACATTGGAGTAAGGCCCCCCCCCCCATGAAATCAGAGTAGTTTGATTACCTTTTTAAAGACCCTGTCTGTCTCCAAAAAGACACATCCTCGGGTTCTGGGATTTAGGACTTCAACATATCCCCTCTTGGGGTACACGATTAAACCCATGGTGATACCCCAGTGAGCTGTCTTAATACATCCATGTATCTTAGTCTTCCTGACTTCAAGAGATCTCATGTGTTTGCTTCTGAAAAATTCTACCTCATCCAAATTTCATAAATTGGACATGATTATTCAAAACTCCTATCAAACCAATAGATTTAGTAAGTCAAACTTAACAAGAATACATATGGTGTACCAGGAAGTGGGTGCTGAGGGGGAGACGTGCAGAGGATAAGATGAGGTTTTGGATCTAAGCAGTCTACTTCCAGTAATGCTTAGGGAACACGATCTAGATGAATCGATAATAATGGAGGGCATTAATGAGTTCATGCAAGGAGATTCAATCCTGTTGAGAATAGCAGTGGGTTTTGATGGCACTAGAAGAAATTGCTTGGAAGGGAATCCAAGAATGGCCAAATTTTGCCTTTCAATCAGCCAACAGCGTTCAAGTTTCCTCAGGGAAATGGATATAAGTAATAGTTGTCTAATGCAATAAAAGGTACCACTTAATCATTAAGTACACAAGTAACCAATAACTCATAATGCAGAGTAATGATGGCCAAGCCAGGTTGGAACAGATTCCAGCATCTGAGTAAGAGCATATATTTCACCTGCCTCTGCTTTAATTTTCCAAATCCTTAATAATATGATAGAGTCTAAGGACTTACTCTAAAGCAGTTTGAACTTTTAGTTCTACATTTTCTATTTAAAAAATAGAAACCTTCAACAAGTCTTCATTGCAGGGCTGAAGGGTTTTCTCTCCCATCAGGTGTTCCATGAGCCTTGGTCCTGCTATGGAAGAGCAGCTTTCTTTATTACGTTTCAATATACAGTAAAGAGTACTGGGGTCAGTCCTAAGAGAAATGCTTCAGGAGCAAATTTAAAATACCAATAACCTGACCATAGCCAGGTAACAGCCCAGAGCTGGGCTGAGGGCTGACTCTGCGCTACAAAAACTAACCCAACGAAGGGAAACAGGAATCTTACAATCTTACGCCACAAGAACTGGATTGAAGGAATAAGAACACCAGAGAGGGGCACATGGGAGGTAGAGGAATGGGGCAGTCAGAGCAGAGACCAGGAGCCAGGCTCTAAGTTCGCCATTAACCAACATGGTAGAACCACCAGACAGCCATCTTCCTGGGCTCAGTTTCTATCACTACCAAACAACTGAGTCAGACCAGATGTTTTTAAAAGCTCTTTTTTACTGATATGGTTCTAGGAAGCATACACCATCCCTAGAAAGTCCTTTAAATAAGTGGCCTAAGACCCCAGAGAACATTCTATGCTAGATACTTTCTCACTGGATCAGGAAGGTACAGTTATTCTGGTAGGAAATGAAATAGGTAAACCTGCTTGAAAAAGTATTCAAAGGAGCCACTTAGTTTACAAAATACATATATAATTATATATATGTTATATATGATATATATTAAATATATATTAAGATTATTATGATATATTAGATATATATTATTTTCTCTGACATTTTATAATAGCAAAACATATAGAATTTGCTTTTGGAATGCAAACTCCTTACACATCCATGCTGAAATAACAGCAGTCTCTAGACATCATTGCCTCTTGGATCTGTAGAGAAATTACTAAATTGACCGCCTTCCTCTGTCAGCCCTGGACACAATGCATCCTGCACGGAGGGGTTGTTTAACCCCTATTCTGGAATCTCTTGGCAGGAAATCCTTGGCCTCCGTCAGATCTTTTCTCTTACACAACCAGAAGTCCCAATAATCCACCTTATAGCCGGAGTCTCCAGCACTGCCAATTTCAACCTATTCAAAGGACATATACTAAGCACCTACTGTCACAAAGCACGGCACTGTGGAACGCATAAAATTGAGTGAGAAACAATCCCAGCCTCAAAAGCCACAGAATCTATGCCGGAAACAGCCAACATGGAACATGTACTACTGCAGCTCTACTCCAGTGTCCCTGCAGACACTGGTTTCTTCCAGTCGCTGGATGCAGCTTCAGAATCTTCCACAAAACATGTAGAAAGGCAGAAGACGCTGATCAGAGTTGGCCCAGGCATAGGATCTATTTGTTAACTCGGGTTGGCCCATCCCCAGGCATGAGTCACGACCGTTCTTGTTTCTGAATGCTAAGCAGGGACTCAAATAATGCGCTGAGAGAGTGACACTAGAGGACCATCTCTTCTGAGCAGGAAAGGAGCAAGGAGGGCTTTGCGGAGAAGGTGTTTAATGACACTTGTCCAAATGAATGTGATGTCAATGGGGGATGTTTGGACTGTGACCCACTGTCCCACTGGGACAATGGCAGAGACAAAAGCATGGTGTCAGGGAGGCAGAACTGAATGTCAGCTCCATCTGATGGGGGATGTACACAAGGATAGAGTGAGAACCCGAAAGTGGCTTAGAGTTTTGCTATGGAAAATCTCCATGTCTTAGGAAATTCAACTTCTCCCTTGTGATAATGGAAATTTTCTTGAGTGAAAGCAACTTGCTACTTTAATCGATTTATTTAAAATAGAGCAAAAAATATCAGAAGTGCTCATTTATCCAAAGAACTGCCCGGCACTTGGGTCCTCCGTGGTCTCCTGATAGTTGTGTTATGGAAATGTGTGCATTGCTTTCTCTTTGCATTTCCTCAATGTAGGGTAGTAGGCCAGGCTAATAGGAGGTATTTTGGGTTGAACTGCTTGTCTCAAAGGATATTTGCACCTTGCGAGCAATTTCCTCGTTTCTGTCAAATCCTGATGGAATGCTCTGCTCTGGGCCTGGGAAAGTGTAGGACGGACAGTTCTGTCCAGGGACTTCCTGAATATCTAATTTTTAAAAGTTAGGCTCCGAGTCTGAAAACGACATGAGATCTATCTGGCACAAGAAGAGAAACACAAGTTAAGCATTGATCCCTTTGGTGACATCCTGGCAGAGTGGCTGACAGTGAATCCCTGGTTCTCTTGATTCTGGAGCCTTCTAGCCCTGGGCATATCAACAGTGACATTAATAGTCACAATCCCAGGCTGCTGAAATGGAAGGCACACGTCACTGTAGGTTGTAGAGATTCTCAATGACAATGGTTTTGAAAGCAGTTGCCAAGGGAACAGCTCAGCTGATCTGAAGCCCCCTGCAGCCTTGGGTCTCTGGGAGCAGAATTGTTTAGTCTCTTCAAATCATTAAGTCTCTGTCTATTTAAGCTTAATTCCAAAAGTTCATTCTTTCTAGAATTATCTAAAACACAATACACAACCAAATGCAAATCTTCTTGTATGCTCAATCACATACACATGAGCCTTGTGAGTACAGAGAATCCCCCTTTTTGCTGGGTTTGTATTGTAATGTCGGCTGGGACCTATGGCCAGCAAGATCCTACAGTCCTTCTGCTTTAGCTGTTTGCCCTGATCAGTTCTCTGCAGCTCTGGGGAGAGAGCAGCAATAAGTCCTTATCCTTCTGCCAACAACAAAACGTTGGTGTTCACCTGAGAAACAAGCCAGAGGCATCCTGGGCATGGTCACCTTTACCCATGACCAGAGGCAGAGACCTAGTTTTCCCAAATACTGTGACCATGGAAAAGGGCAGTGGCATCATGGCTGTCATGAAACCTCAGAATCTTTTCAGCCTGTGAAACCTAAAGCCCTGGTCATTTTCATTCTCTCTTGAGGCTGCAGGAATACCCAGCTTCCAACAGATCTAAGCAACCAACTAAGAAAAGTATGACTGCAAACAGGAAGGCTGGAAAACAATTTCCTGTTCTCGAAAAATAGGTCTGGGTGTGCCATCAATCAAATCTCATTTTATTGACAGGGTGGTTTGTATTTATTTTTCCTATTAGCTATTTGCTGCCTATGAGCCAAAGTTTCATGGGAATTCATTGCTTAGATAAAAATTAGGTCAAGCCTTATGCTAGGGAAAAGACCTAAAATTTATACTTAAAATCAAATTAATATACTTACATGATTTAATTTTTTTTTTAAAAAAAATCAACA